GTTTTTGTGTATATGTGTTTAAATGAGGTCATACAGGCACAATTTTGGACAGACAATTTTTTGCAGCTTCTCTGAAGCAATACTTTTATTGCAGGCTTTCTTAATAAACTTCAAGTCTGTAAAAACAACAAGCTGTTTCCAAATGGATCCAATTCTTATCTTCCAGGAGCAATGTTCCAACAACAAGGTAATGAAAAGTAAAATAGCAATTTAGATCCTCTGATTATTTCAATCCACCACTTGAAAGGACTTGTGGATACCTTCTCAGTGTTAATTGTCTAATTTCAGACTTTTCCCAGCCTCTAGAAATTGAATATTCGAAAGTATATAAAGCTCATAAAGGTAGTCCATGACTTAAAACCATTCATTTAGTGACTGTTCAAAGTTACAATGGCACTGAAAGATGTGGTTTATAACCAGCCCTTATACTTACAACTGCTGCAGAATCCCTGTGGTTAATTTATAAAAATTTCTGCACTTGGCAACTGGCATATCTTTTTTAAGGTTGCAATGTCCCACAGTCATATGATCACCATTTGTGACCTTCCGAGCTATTTCTGAAAGCAAAATCATTGGGGGAAGCCAGATTCACTTAGCGATATAACAACTGTAGTTATTTGCTTAACAATTGTGATGAAAAAGGTTATAGAATCAGGTGTGACTCACTTGACACTAGTCGTGCTTAGCAATGGAAATTCTGGTCCCATTTGTGGTCATAAGTCGAGGATATAGGGCAGGGGTGGGTTCTAAATTTTTTTACTACTGATTCTGTGGGCATGGCTTATTTTGTGGGTGTGGCTTGGAGGTCATGTGACTAGGTGGGCGTGGCTAGCTGTCAGGGTCATTTCTGGAAGGTCCTCACACTTACGACCAGTCCTCACACTTACGACCCGACTCATTTGTTTGCTTTTAACACTGATCAGCTGTAGGACAGCCCTTTGAAGCCCTGCGGCAAGAGTTTAAACAGTTTTTTTTTTCCCTCTAGTCATCAGCTGGGACTCAGGAGGCAGCAATAGATTGGGGGTGGGACCAAATAAAAGGTAAGAATAACGAGGGTGGGTGGGTGGGACGGCGGGGGGGGGAGAACCGGTTCAGTGACGTCATATCGTCACCGCTACCGGCTCGGCTGAACCGGACCAAACCGGGAGGAACCCACCACTGATATAGGGTGAAAATATGTCCTGGATTTTGATAGACAATCTCCCATGTTTGTCCAGCGCAACCACAGTTTTAAATTGTGAGGAATTCAACAGAATGATAATGAACGATCTATACTAAAGGTCTCCAGATGCTCATTACAGTTTCAGTTAATTCCCATCTGACCATAACCTTCTTATATCTCTTACATTTCATCTTGCTGCCTTTTTTTCTCTATTTTTTTTTCCTGTGCGTTCATGGGACCCTTGTCAATGGTTGGTCTATGGTTATTGACATTTTCTTCTTTTCTCCTCTGGAAAATTCTAGAATTCAAATATCTATGGAGATTCTCAGTCATCCAGGTCATGGGTGTCCCAAAGGTGCAACCTTTTCTTTGAAAATGTTTTGCTTCTCATCAGAGCTGAAGAAGCTTTTTGGATGAGAAGTGACACGTCTTCAAAGAAAAAGCAGAAAATCCAGTTGCCTCTTGAAAAAAGCACCTTTGGGTCTAGAATTTAAACATCCATCTTGAGTGTTTTTAGCACAGAGTATGATTACAGAATAAAGCTAAAGGATTTGATTAAACAGATTTTTCCTATTTCAGAACTCACACTCTAATTTTCCCCCAAAATGATGCATTTGGAGTTGACCTGGATGCTGCAGCTGGCCCAAAATGAAGGAGATAAATTATTGAGGGGTAATCTAATGCTAGTTTAGCAGCACCACTATTAAAATCGGTGTACTACGTCCTGCAGCGCTTTCAATCCCAATTAAAAGTGCTGGTCATGACCTCTAAAGCAGTGGTGAAATCTAAAATTTTTTACTACTGGTTTTGTGGGCGTGGCTTGGTGGGCGTGGCAGGGGAAGGATACTGCAAAATCTCCATTCCCACCCCACTCTGGGGCCAGCCAGAGGTTGTATTTGCCTGTTCTCCAAACTACTCGTAATTTCTCCTAACGGTTCTCCAGAACCTGTCAGAACCTGCTGGATTTCACTCCTGCTCTAAAGTCCTATATGGCATAGGACTATATTACATTAGATACTACATTACTCAGGTTGAATCTTCTGTCAGAAGGAGCATCATGAGAAAATCTACTTTGAATCCATCCTCTGGCTGAGATGTGAACATGGACCAGACTAGGGGTCTTCTCTGTGGTGGCCCCTTTACTTTGGAACTCCTTACCTTGTGGACATTTGAAGAACTTCTTCTTTCCTGACCTTCTGTGAAAAGTGTTACAGCAACATTATGTACTGTTAATCAGGACTGAATGTTTCTTACAGGGTTATCTCTTAGTAGTGTCTTCCTTGTTGTTCTTATTTTCCATTGTTATTATGTTGTATGTTGTCTAAGGCCTACTGACTGTGGTAGTTTAAAGAAACCATGAAATACACTTTCTTGCATATGGTACACATACATGCAAGCATTATGACAGCCAGCATGTTTACAGTGTTAAAACTGCTGGGTTAGGAGTAGGGAGATCCAGGTTCAAATCCTCCCTTAAACAGAAAAGCTAGTTGGATGTCTTTGGGTTAGTCTTCTCCTTAGCCCAAATCAGTGTTCACACATACACACACACACACACACACACACACACACACACACACACACACACCAGCTTGAACATAATGACACTGAACATTTTTTCAGGTTTTCCTTGTGTCCATATATATTCTTCAACACTTTTAATATAGACTAAATTGATCTATTCTGTAAAACCTTCTATTCCTCCATTGATTTCTAAGTTAGTATTTCTAAATCAGCAGCATGTTCTTAAGATTTAAAATAGAGAGGAAAAAAAACCCTGGTGGCCACCAACTGCAAGATGAGGAATGACATAATGTGTATTGTGTGATGCTTTAGCTTGTGTGTGTGATAATATGTATCTATTAGTTGCTCTCAATTATGGTGAAAAGAATAATTCCACAAAGTCAATTGATTATAGATAGATAGATAGATAGATAGATAGATAGATAGATAGATAGATATAAAAATATATGTATTCACCAAAACTGAATCATTGCTTGATCCCTCCCTGCTCCAAGTAACAGGGGCTTTAACTCTTTATAACTGAAATCCACTTTCAGCAATGTTGAGAAACAGGTTATTTTCAGCCAAATCTTCCCTAACATGCACTAGGATCCCCACACACCATCCCAAGATGCAAACCGTAATTTATTGCTGACCAATACCAATAAGTGTTTTAATGTTGAGCAAATCCAATAAACAAGGGAATGCAGAATGTATGCGCTAGAATTTCCCCCCCCCCCAGCATGTTATTTAAGCCAAAATATATACAACCTTGGTCTTTGAATCAATGGGAAGAAATGAATGCTCTAGATGGATGTTCAAGGGAAGGCAACATGTTGCTTTGCAGATGGTTACTGGCTTATGATTCCCAAGACATTTGACCTTTGATTATGCTAGCGTGGTACTCATTAGATTTGAACTCCTGAAGCAACATCTCACACAGAGCCATTGCTTTTCTCTTACAGCAAGAATTTTTAGCAGTCTCTAATGGTAGCACAGAAATTCAAGCGAGATCCTTTATTATTTTCCCCTACGGAATTTCAAAAACATTGAATTTCAGCCTACACTATGATAGTTTGCATTTTACAATCTGTCAGGCTGATTCTTCAGAATAGGAAATTGAGAGGAATTAAAATAGCTGTAACTAAGACAAAAGAAGTTGGGAATAACTGGGAAATTTAGGCTGGAACCTGCCACGTTACAGGATGGAGAGGAATTTAATGATATCCGGATTATCAGCAAGATGGTCACCAGCCCAATAGGGTTTGGTTTTATAATAAAAATAGCTGAAATGCTGTTGAAACGCCCACATTTTTTGGAAGGTAAATTTATCAGCTAAATCTTGATATGAAGATTTGGTGTATTACTGGGTCAAAATTGCTTTATAGTATGCAGGAAATGGACCTCAATGTTTTCTCATCTTCTTAAGATGGCCCTTTTTAAGATGGTGTCAAACTTGATTTCACTGAGGGCCGCATCAGGGTTGTTTGACCTTCGGTGTGTGTGTGTGTGTGTGTGTGTGTGTGGCAAGCTCGACGTCACTCGTATTGGGGGCACCCATGGTGCCAAGTGCTAAGGCAGAACTTCCCTCAGACCCTCCCTCCCTCCCATTATAATCTCCTTCCTTCCTTCTTTTTCCTTCTCTTCTTTCTTCTTTGTTCCTTCCTTGCTCTTCTCATCTTTTCTTCTTTTTCTTTCTTTCCTCTTTCCTTTTCTCCTTTCCTATCCCTTCTTGCATGCTCAAATGCAAAAGGGGAAACATTTCTTTTTTTTGTTTCTTTTGCTAGCCCTGTCAGCAAAAACAGGGCCCGTGGAGGGGCACACAGCCCTCCCAAGCTCCATTTTCATTGGCAGAGGCACCATGGGCTGGTCCTTCCATTTCCAGGGTAGGCCTGTGGGCCAGATCTAAGTACCCCGTGGGGCGCATCCGGCCTGCGAGCCTTGAGTTTGACACCCCTGCCCTATAGCCTCGAAACATATATACTCCACTGGTTTGGAATGACTTACAATACACATATCCTGAAGTATTTTTTCCTAACTAACCATGATTACAATGGGATTTTAGGAACTATTATATGTTTCTTGCATTCATTGTATCATATGTGGTGTGAATGGAGAATCAGAAGCTGAATCAACTTTTTCTTGATTTAGAAGTTCTGGCTAAAGTCCTTTGAAAACTATTGACTTTATCGTTTATGGTATTCAGAACTGACGTAGTTTCAACCTTTATAATGAATTAAAATAATCATTTTGTTATCCTAATAATCCAAGCCCAAAGAACTGAAATCCTTGCACAAATTCAATTCCACAGAAAGAAAAACAAAGGAAGACCCGATACGCTGATAAGAATTTTTTATGTTATTCCAATAAAAAATACATTCATACAGAAATATAACAATCTTGCAAAAAACAATTTCAAATAAAATCTTGTAAAACAAATTTTTTTACAAAAATCTTACAAAGAGATTCTTTAGATAATAGGGTGCTTCCAAAAAAAACCAAAAAAACAAACAAACATAAAAAGAAATTTTACGAATAGAAATTTTTTTTTTCTGAAATTTCAAGCAATTTTTTTTTCTTTCAGCTTGATTGAGGCTCAGTTATCACCTGAACAAAATGTACTCATTTAACTACAAAACTGATTTCTAACTACTGCAAGAGAATTTTTTTTTTAAATAGCAAATGATTATGGCTAAGCAGATATCATTGCAATCTTACCCTTTCAAGTACAATGCTGGAGCAGAAAAACTTGTAGAATGCCTTGATCAAAGGGTGAGTATTTTAATTCGTACATGCAGTTAGGAATTTCCCGATCTACGGTATTGTTTTGTCTATGAAATGGCATCTCTCAAGAATGCGGTAAAAAGTGCCCTACATGTATGAAGCGCCACACATCTCTTAGACTTCCGTAATCCGTAGATAACAAATGCTTTCTTGGGGTAATTAAAAAAAAAAAAACTTAAAAAGTGCATTTTTGAGCATATAAAAATTCAAAACACAATGCAGATAAATGTAGGCCTATATATCTCTCAGCCTCAGATAAAATGGATTTGAACATGGTTAGAGGACTATTAATCTTCACCATCATTTGAGGGGGGGGGGAATGCTGCCCCAAATAGCAAGAAGCAAGCTACGTTCTTGTGGAAGGCAGCTTGGAAAACACATTGGGCTTAATGTTTGGGGAACAACTATTTCTAACATCTCATAAAACTGCCTTGCGAATTCAGCTAAAAGGTAAAATACCCGTAGGAATAAATTCACCATCAAGGAGCACATTTCTACATCTTCTCAATAAGCTTAGAGGACAGAAACGGAGAGGTTGAGATTCATTTATTTAGTCTTAGCGGAAAGTGTCCATTTTTAAGTAGCCCTCAATGGATTGCTCCCATATGATGCAGAAATGGCTAAGCAGGCAGCCTGAGCCCTTGGTGTTCCAATTAAATGCCCTTTTGGGGGGGAGATGAAGAGCTCACTGACCACCATCAAGGAAAGCATAAACTAGCAAGAGAAGAAGCAGAGGGCAGCAAAACCCAAAACCTATAGACAAAAGGCCAAAGAAGGATTGTTGGGTGAACATAGGAGAAAGGAGCTAACCTTCTTAGAACTCCTAAAATGACTTTTTCTTCTTCTTTGAAAGCAGACAAGTGTCTTGCATTTAAAAAATAATTGGAAAAAAATCAGCAAACCATTTAAGTCCTGTTTCACCAAAGGGACTCCAGTGCACTTCGTTTGAACACCAAGAAATTTTTGAGTGTGCAAAAGTGCCTATCGATAGGGAAGTAACTGCCTTCTCTTGTTAAAAACTGTGCACACTGATTGAAGCTCCTCCTCCTTTTCAGGTCTCTGCTAAAAGAAGTTAACAAACAGTAATAATAATAATAATAATATTAATAATAAGCTGACTTTTGTTTGCTTCTTCTCCACGAAATGCAGGAAATGAGGAAGACTCCTCACAGGCTATGACACTTTACAGCAAAGAACTCAATACAATCCTTAAAAATAATATATTATCTATATATTTTATAGATGTAGACACACACACACCCACACACGCACACCCACACACAAATATACATGCACGCACACTCACAGCTACAGATACTATAGACACGAATAGATATATACATACGTTATAGATATCCTGCCCACTTGATAATTACTTTTTTTTTTTTGCTTTTTTTGTATTTTTTGTTTACTTTCCATTTTAATTAAGGGGAAGCTACATATACAGGTGTGGACATTGTGCCTTTTAAGAAATCTTTGTTGTTGTTATTGTCGTTACTCCTGCGGTTTTAAAAATGCATGAGCAAACACAGCATCCTGAATACAGGATCTTTTGATGGAGGGAGGAACTGATGGATTTTTTTCCCCCCATTAATTTCTTGAATGGGAAGAGGGAAGGATGCAGGACAGGGGCAGGTTGTGCAAGACCAACCTTGTCAAAAGATGGACTCAGGGATGCATTCTTTGTTGGATTATGCCATGAAATTTTCAGTACAGATGTTTTTAGGGGGATCACCCAGAATACCAGCTGATGGTCTTCCCACCTCTTCATAATGTACATTTGATACAGTACAAGTGTCAGGTGAAAAGAGAGCCTTAATAAAGCATATATCATTCATACCCCTGTATAAGACCTCCCAAAAGAGAAGTTCAATTTGCATAAGGCACCATTATTAAGGTCAACAGTGCATTAACAGGTAGAAAACCAAAAATTAGACCTCAAGGCATAAATAAAAGATAAGAAGGTAGGTGTTGGAGGCAATGGGGGAAACAGCTGCACGAGTTCATTTTTTTTTTTTTTAAATATCCATCTCTAACCTAGTGGTTTTATCCACCTAATAGGACAAAGCAAAAATTCAAGGAGGAAAAAAAAAACACTATTTGGGTTTGGTATGTTATGTAACATTAAACCAATTGCAGTGTAGCAGCTTTGAACCGGAATTGAGAGAAAAAGAAAGAGAGAGAGAGAGAGAAATGGCAGTCCTGATTACAGAATGGGAAAGCATCTAGTTCTCCAGAACCATGCAATAACCTTTGTATTATAATGAAAAAAGTTATAGGTTGTGTTATATTGTAAATACACAGCTTATACAATGGATTACAAATGAGCTCTGTAGCAAGTCAGACAAGCTACGGGAGACATTGCACATTTAATAGCTGGACCAGACACCAAAATCTCCTTTCACACAGGATAGGGGCCCATGCCAACATTTCTCTAATCTGGTTTTCCTTCCTTCCCTCCCTTCCATCTCCCACTTCAGAAACCAAATATAAAAGGGGAAAAAAAAAAGGTGCAGAAACCATTTCCCCCCTTCCCCATCAAAAGGATGCACATCCTTCCATCTTACATAACACTCTTCACATGAGCCACTCCCCACCCCCCCCAAGTTAAAAATAAAATTTAAAAAAAATAATCCCACGTTCAGACAGCTTTTTCTCTCTTACGGTTAGAAAACAACAAGGAACAAATGTTTTTTTTTTCTTTAAAAAAATGTGCCTCAGCATCCAGTCATCCAGTATATCCTCCATAACACACAAGTTGTCCATTCATTAACACTCCCAGTTCGCTCACGGCAGAAGGTGTCGGAAAGCCATTCAGAAGGTTTGGTCCCCTGGGCTGGAGACCTGCACCATATGGTCATTGCAGCCATTTCTTACATGACTTATCTAGCCCTCTAAAAACCTTCCAAAGAAGAGAGGACCTGGAGGCCACTGAGTTAGGGTGCAAAATGGCATGCTTTGGCTGGAATATGCATCTTTTAATCCAAGGCCAGCTTGACCTCGATGCCTCTTAGCCCACAGGATTCAAGCTTCCAATCATTCAGAGATGCCTCTTCATGTGAAGAGCCAGATGGTCAGACCTGGAGAAGCACCTGTCCACCAACAAAGAGAAGACACTTAAGATCAGGTTACAATGCGGTATCAAGAAATATGCTGGTTTTAGGACACCCAAAAGTTCCTTTTTTTTCCCCAAGAGACAACGGGACTTTCTTCATTTTTCCTTGAAGACGTTCCGGGTCTCATCCAAGAAGCTCAAAACTGAAGAAGCTTCTTGGATGATACGTGAAACATCTTGGTATGGTACCATGATCTCCGTGGACATTTAGATTTAAGACAGATTACTGTGCAGCAAGATATTGCCTGCACAGCAGTGGAAAGATCACTCCGTCACATGACTGGAATGCAAGATACTGCATTGTAGCTAAAGGTTTTGCAAGGGAGCTGACACTTTAGCACAGTGATTGTGATCTTGTCAGTCACCGGCCAAATAAACATCCACCTTTATTACTAGAAGAAGCTGATATCAGCATGTTAACCCTGCAACAACTCATGGTAAAAGGAATGCAGTGAAGGTCATTCCTAGTGTCTTGTAGGTGATCAGCGACTTTAACTTATTCAAATTCAGCACATTAGTCACTACGCCATAACCTTTCTGACTCTCTATCTCCATATCTTGCCAAGGAGGGTGATACCAGAAATAGTTCAGTTCAATTTGGAAGAATTACAGGTTCTCTACATCTCTGATTATGGCATTGTGCAAAAGGATAACCGGTGGCAAAAATTGGAAGTTTTTTTAAAAAGCACTCCAGTGTCATTGGCTCCATCTAATTGAACTGATGGCAACATTCGTAATGTGACTTAACAATTCCGAGGATAATTTAATCTCTCCTCTAGACATCCCACAGAAGCTTCCTATCAATTTGTCCTACTGCTTTCTTCGTCAGTTAGAAAGTTGCTCTTTCATTAATCCAGAAACTATCCAGAAATTATTTCAAATACAAATGTTCCAACTGCATTGTGAAGCTGGAACACTTCGAAGAAAGTTGGAACATCATTGGAATGTTTCTTGTAAAGTTAAAACAGGACAGTTCAACTTTGGGGTATTTGTCCATCAAACGTTTTTGCATATTTCTTTCAATATGCAAAGGGGCAATTTATAGGAATAGAGCTTCCCAAAGATAGATTTTTTTTGCTGAATATAAAAGAGGCTCTTTTTATATTTAAGATAAAACTATACTAATGTCATCAACAGAGCTGCATGAAATTTGCTGCTTTCCAAGCACAGGGGGAACAAAATAATATAGAACAAAATTCCATCCACATACCTGTCACAGTGATTACACTTAAAAGGTTTTGCCCCCGTGTGCTTTCTGAAATGTCTGGTTAGCTCATCACTCCTTGCAAAACGCCACTCACATCCTTCCCATGAGCATCTGTAAGGCTTTTCTCCTGCAAAACAAAAACAAAACAAAACAAAAAACAAAAAAACCATTTATACTGATCATTATTCAGTTACAGAGTACATACAATATTCCTCCTCCAAAGACGAATGAATGTTGATTCACTGAGCATTCTTTTTTTTTTTACGAAAAAAAAATAATATAGGAAACAAAGTTGCTCATTTTATGGTTCACTAGGTACTTCCAAGAATGCAGATGGAAATTTTTGTTTGTTTGGTTTTTTTTTGCTGACAGTTTTGCTCCAACAGTAAAGCATCCCGTCCTGATAAAAAGATTCCAGTAATCTAAACTTTCTGGAATCCTCTGATTCTGAAAATGATTTTTTTTTAAAAAAAGGACTGAAAACTCACCATGTTAATTGGTTCAACTAAGAATTGTTTTTAGATTATCAGTTTTTACAAAAAATGCTTCTTCCTTTCTGTGGGCCCTAATTAAAAGAGAGGTGTCAATGGAAGTATAAAGCCATATCTTGAGAGTCCACTGGACTGAGATGGCTAATAAATCTAAAATACATTTTGCCTACTTTCTTATTAGGACAATGGTTTTGGTTTCAACCATTTTCATCTTCATTCGGAACACTTCCTTACACTGAACTTAAAATAAGCGGTCTTAAACTCTACCCTACAAGTTATGTTTCCTGCATGGTTTTGTTTCTCTGTGTGGGTACTCTATCCAGTAAGCTCTGCAGAAGTTTTACATGGGCCAAATGGTAGGTGAAGAAGAAAAATAAGGAATAAAATCAGTAGCACACTGAGTTTAAGATTAGCACTGAAGTGACAGACCAGAATTTCCACTACCCGCAACTACATTTTAGTTCCAGGTTCTGGGTAAATGTTGGTTCCTCCTTTCCTGATAACTATCACACTTTCAATTTTATAGCACAATAGCTATAGAACACAAAAATCCTCCCCCCACCTTTTCTCTGTTTACCCAAGGGTTAATTGGTGTAGTAGAATAGTTCTCCCTTTAAGATGTGAAAACAGCATTTATGAGAAGGAGGAAGCCTTTTAGCTTGTCTCAAAATGTGAGTACATTTTGCTGTGTACATTTATAAGTGATTTGGTGCATCTAACCAAGAAGTCATTGAAAGCAGGAGAATATTTACGGTCAAAAGCAACCATGGCAGCTTCTTACTCTATGAAAAATTTATACAAGCTCTGATTCCACTCCACATCTTTTCAGGCTGCTCTAGGGAACAGGAATGTATCTTGACATTTGAGTTTCATCAGGATAAAACTCTGTAGGTTTATCATGAATGGAAATGCACCACAATCATATGGTCATAAATCAACTGTAATCTTTCAAGGAGTAAATAATGTACTTTGTAAATGATGCGTGCAGAGAAGTTAATCTGCAGCACAAATACTTATGAGCGAACCAGAATTAAGCAAGCACTTAATTTGGGTTTACTGACTAAACCAGAATTGCTTCGGATCACACAACCTAATAACCATATGAAAGTTTAAGATGATCTGGAATCCAAACCATTTTAAGATGTTTTAGATTCTTCTTTACCAAGAAATTCTGGGTCTTCCGTTTTGCTGTCTAATTTTAGATTTATATAAAGATTTTTTTTCCCCCCTCTGAGAAAAGATGAAGTAATTGTTCACCTTCTCAGGCATGGGGTAATTTAACCAATCGAAACCAACCATGCACAAACAAATAAATGAACTACCTAGTTTAGATACAAATTTGCAACAGGCTTATGGAAAAAGAATGAGGAAGTGAGGACTTGCATTCTGGGAAACTTTAGTTGGTATTGCATTATCTAATGGCCCTGAGTTCTTGCTCCAGAAATTGTGTAAGATTATGACACTGTGAAGCATGAAGGTCTTCTTTAGCATTATCTGCTAGAGGCTTGGAAGCTAGCCAAATGCAAACGGCCATCTGAAGACTAGTGTTTTTGGGAAACTGTGACCCAAAAATCCTTCTTTATGATATTTCGATGTGTGCTGACCATGAATAGCAAGAGGATAAGAGAGAGAATGGTTACACCATAAAGCATGAACCAGCAAGCATCTGGAGTAGACTGTGGAAAGTCCAAGTGGATGGACACAACCACTAGCCAACCACATTTTGAAGGTGCACGACACCGAAAAATATATTAAGAGGAAATGGACTGCAAAGGAAATAGGAACTGGGAACAAATGAAGTTCCCTTCTTACACTCATCTCCTGCCTTTCTCCACAACGGATGTTGCAACATTTCTATGGAGGCGTTCTACAGGGAATACATGCAGCTGCACCATGCATTCAGTTCCTGGTCTAGGCCTTTCCTGGCCAAGTCATGAAACCATGAATTATGGAAATCATACATGATGCAACTGGACACCATCTCATTTATGAGAGATTCTTCTAAGGTCAATAGGCACAGTGTAGAAGGCAAGAAGAGTTCATCAGTCCTAGAGGCCATATGAATACTCACCTGTATGGGTACGCTGATGTGCTTTCAGATGTGAACTTTTGGTATAAACCTTCCGGCACCCATTGAAGTGGCAGCGATGAACCCGCCTCCTCCCATCAGGAGAGGCATCACTACTGACCAGGGTACCTTTTTCCACAGTCTTTCCGCCAGTACCAGTACGGATTTTGCCAGGTGAATGCAACTCACTGGGGGCACAATTCCATGGTTGGGAAGATGACTCCTTGCCCAGCTCAGGGGAAGAAGGAGGAGTAGAAGTGACAGATGAATTCAAGTTTCCAGCACTGGCCAAGTTTAAGACATCATTTATGATATCCGAGGTAAATTTTGTTGTAGGAGAAAGTTCCTCGGAACTATCTGAAGATTCACTACTGATATCAGAATTCAAACTGTTAGTCTCTAAAGTCTGATTGTTAAGGTTGTCCTCCTTTGGAGCACTTGCTGTCTTTAGTTCAGATTCCTCCTTTTTCTCCCGTGCCAAAATAATTTTGGTCCACAAATCTTCCTGACTGTCAAATTTTATCTCAGAGGCGGACACGTAGCAGGGCTCACTTTGAAGGTATCGCTCCAGCTCTAAGCAAGTCTACAGAATTAAAAATACATAAACAGGTATTTAAAAAATCATTCACTTCTAAGAACATTCTGAAAAATTTAGCGGGAAGCCATGCACACTCAAAGAGAGGAAGAGTTTATTTCTGGTTGCTAACGTGGTTTAAAGTTAAAGGCCGTTCAAGTTTCAACTGATGAATGTTCCAAGAAAACAGTGTAATTCTCATGAACTTGTAAAGAATGCAGAGTCAAAAATAGTAACCCAGCTACATTCTTTAGGCATTTCCCTTATGAGTTAACTAAACAGGCATCCCGTAGAAAGATTTCAGTGGGATTAGCTTTGAAGAAGTCAATGCTACCTTCTCCAAATTTTATTTAGGTTATTTTATTAAGTAACGTTGACTTGAATAAAAAAAAAAATCAACTGAACTTCCATCACGTGGACAAAAATTATGGTTCGCACTCTAAATTTAAGTATGTGTTGTGGCTGATTTTTACAACTTCTAAGCCAAGACATTTCCTGCACATGAGAACTCAGCCTAAGGGACACACTGAAAGAATATCCAAGTATACAAGCATGAGTCAGTTGTAAAGTGAGGCATTTTTTGCAGAGACAGTAGGAACATCATCAGCAAAATCTCCAGATTTCTAACAGGACATTGAATGAAAGAGACGAAAGGGGGGAAAAAAGCATGGAAAACTCCAACTTTTAAGGTCCTAATGCTGATTCCAACAAGGAAGGAGAACTTTATCTGCTGGCCAAGAGTGGCTTGTTATGAGTCATTCCCTTGTTTCTTTTACTCAATGCCAAGAGACTTCCTTTTAAAATTTATGACTCTCTGCCAAGAATGCTCATGGTTCAAATCTACATACAACAGGACAGGTTTTGTTTTTTTTAAATCCTCACTAAAAGACACCAACAAGACTTTGAACAGCATAGTAAAAGGCTGACCATACTAATTGTACTGTATTAAGAATCAGATTCTAGGCAAAATGGTCAGTCAAGCATGACTTGTGTGATTTTCAGCAAGAACCCTTCCTTCCCAATTGTGAGAGTGAAATAAAATGCTGCACTCAAACATGCACACACACACACACACACACACACACACACAGAGAGATCATTTCAGCATCAATTTAAATTGGTCATAGTACCCTGTTGACTTCCACACTTCCCTCTCCTGACAATTATCTGGACATAAGCTTCATTAAATTGAGAAACTTGCTCTTAGAGAAAGGTGAATAAGATTGTACGTTGTTAACATCTCTGCTTATTGGGGGAGGGGGAAGAGAAAGCAAAATATTCTCTCTGTGGTCAATATTTTTTAGATCCCTCTGTTACGATTGAGGCAAACCTTCCAAATATCTTGCAAAGGTAGAAAATGTATAGAAAGAATAGGTTTGACATTCAGGAATAGATTTAAAATTCCCCCTATTGGGCAAACTAATTTTGAGAATCAGCTGAGGGGAAGGAGTGGGGGGGGGGGGCTCAAAATGTATTCTGAGAGCGATTTTGCTCCAAAAAGCAAAATAACTCCCAGAAAACAATGTTTGAACCATTGGGGGGGGGGGAGAGAGAGCCTGTGGTGTAGAACGCCAACCCCCACCCCGAAAAAATTGGTAGAGCTTCATATTTCAAGCCCCAAAATCAGGTTTTCAAGCCTTACAAACAGAAACCCAGATGAATTAAATTGGGTTAGAGAAAGCAATCATTACAGTAATGGAGGCAAGTAAACATGTCTTCTCAGTCCCATATTCGAGGGAAAATCCCAAGCAAGGCAAAAATAATAATAATAATAAAAAAATCCAAAAAAAACATTTGCCAATGTTTGGAATCCGATGACATGGACTTTAAAAAAAAAAACTTGTCCATTAAAGGCAACATGCCTCAGATTTTCCTCTATTAGGATTCATAAAGTGAAGGGGGGGGAATCATTGTCATATGACTGACAACTCGTTCTGCGGGGAGGGGGGGGCTGTTTTAAAAAAAGCTGTACATGATCCTGCCATAAAAATAGTACAGTACTGAAAGAGAGGGTCAAACAGCCCCCACACACACACACACACAATTCTTGAGAGAAGATATTCGTGTGGGGGGGGGGGAAGGGGAAGCACGGAGAGCAACTATTTCTAAACACAGAACTGTTTGGATGACAAGTTCTCCTTATAGCAATTGGCTTTGCTTCAAAAAAAAGGGGGGGGGGTGTGTGGGAAAAGAGGGGGGGGGGGGGGGGGGGGGAGAAACTTTATTTTATTTTATTTTTTATATTTTTTTGCCAAGAGTCCGGACAGGCAAACGTGAAAGGCAGAAACTTGGCAATCCCATTCGATTCCAAGGTATGGTTTTATTTTAGAGTATAGCCAGCTTTGCATTCTCTTAAGGGGTTTTTGAAGCCTGTATCGGTGAGAGCCGGGCACCAGCGAGAGCAAATAAGGGTTCAAACACACACACACACACACACACACACACACAGCCGCTGCTCACAAGTTCTGACAGCCACGTCCACTGAGAAAGGGGGTAACGAGAACTAGCATGCATTAAAAAAAAAAAGAGGGGGGGAATAATTAAATAACACATGCCCTTCGCTTGCTAACGACCAAAGATTAAAATAAACTGAATTTCGATCTTTGTCCTGAAGCATTCTTTTGATGCAGGCCAAATAATAATAATATATTTTTTTTAAATTTAAAGAAGCTTTGAAGCTTACGCATCGCCTGTGGTCCCCAGCGTTTAAAAAAAAAAATAAAGCAAAAAACCCCGACATGGTTGCAAACATACAGCCCATCCTCCTTTACCTGTTGCCAGTATTCCTCCAGAGATGGCAAGGCGGAGAAGTAACCAGTGTCGTGAACAATCTGGAGTTCCTGAAAGATGCTACACATTGGAAGTACATCCATGCCTCTCGTGGGGGGGAAGGGGGACGGGTAGGGAAGAAAAGTTGCAACCCGGAGCCCTCGGCAAAGACGAGCGTCCGATCGCTGGGGTCTTTTTTCCACAGGTCGGAAGAGCGGAGCAGCGCGAAGGAGGTCTCGGGCTCCGGCTCTCGGCTGTAATCGCCACAGCAGGTGATGGTGACAGAAATACAACCGGCTATTTACAAAAGTCTCACTTCCTCCTCCTCCTCCTCCTCTCCTCCTCCTCCAAAGACCACCGAAATCAAAGCAAAAAAAGAAGAAAATCACAAAAAAGGGGGGAAATATCACCCAGCAGAAAGTACCTTAAAGGAGGGGAAAATAGCAATCTACGGCTAAATATATATATATATATATATATATATATATATTTTCAGACGAAGTTTTTTTTTAATATATATATATATTTATATATATATATGTGTGTGTATATATATATAAACGTATATATATTTTGAATAATATATAAAAAAGCAAAGTTTCATGCAAAGTTTAATTGCACAGCAATAGATCAAAGGTTCTTTTTTTGGCCCTTCTCTTTAAGCTGGTTGGCTTTCGTTGTTTTCGCTTTTTGCAGTCTCCTCGATGCTGCTGTTGAGATTGCCTTCCACTCCTGGGGCTCTCTCGCTCTCGCTCGCTCGCTCGCTCTCCAGAAGATAGTTGCTGAGAAGCCTACTCAATATTTGCAAACACCGAGGTGACTGCAAATGTAACCCGCTGCAAAAGTTCCCTTTCAAAAGCTCTCCTTGGCCGCCACCTCCCCCTCCTTCTACTCCCTCCTCTTTTCCCCCCTCCCCTTCTGCTGAAAGCCACACTCGCTCCTCCCCTTTACTCCTCTCCCTCTGCCCCCCGCCCTCCGCCACCTCGTGATCCCATTACGCCGGCTCTGAATGCTGCCCAATCTATAACAACAAACTCGTTACACCGCGTTCCAATGATGTCAGACTAGCCCAATGGCCGTGCGCGGCGCATCTCGGCTCCTCCTGGCGTGACCGAACTTCTCCGTGACGCCTCACCCCATTCGTCCGATTCGAAATTCGACCCGTCCTGATTGGCCCTGGGAGCGAGAGGCTATTTTTAGAAGGGTATATAAGGCTGGAAAGCCGTTTTAGAGAAGCGACTCAGAGTGAGAGCGTTTGCTTGTTGTTTGTCGTTGCTGGGGGTTTGGGCGAATGGGGGGGAGGGGAAAGGAGTCGCTGTAGTACCGAAAGTGAAATTGGGAGGCGCTGCTAAGCCGCGCACGGAGCGCTTTGGAGAGTAACTGAAGATGTTAAGCAATTCGCACAAGTTGCAATAAACAAGCGTGGGTAACGCATGATATCCAAGCAAGCTATTTGGTCTGCAAAATTCAGGACGGTTGCTACATTACAGCGGGAATGTCTTTTTCCTGCCGTCTAGTGGCCGTCCGGATTTTGGAAACGATTTAGAAAAAAAAAAAAAAAATACCCTGGCTGCGTTTTCCGCAGCTGATCTGACATTCAATCCTGCAACCAAACCCCCGAAATTAGATAGGAAAGGAATTCTTTTCGTGCACGCGTCTTTTTCCCAAAATCCCCCCCCCCCACATTTTAATCGCTGCTCGCTTGACCCTATCTTCTTCACTCCTGCCTTATGCTCCTCTTGCACTGCTTCTCTCAGGCTGCAGCAAAAAATCCCCCCCCCCCCAATACTTCAATTTATAGTTTAACTGGAATCTAGAGATCCATTTTCCCCCCTCGATGACCATGTACACTAAGAAGTGACTCAAAGCAGTTTCTACAGCTTCGTTTAATGTACCCGTGCCAAGTGTGTCTCTTAATCCTCGTTGTCAATAAACATTCGTTCTTTTCGTGGAGGTGTGTATTATTTATTTGGAGTCTTCTCTTTCTGGAGTTCCATAGAACATTATGGTACAATAACAGAAGAAGAAGAAGAAAAAATGCTTAGGGAATAAATACTTCCTCTTACACACACACACACCTCTCCGGGTTAGGTTAACCATCTACTGGCTGACCGTCTGCTTCTGTTAAGAGAGGCTTGCATGAGGATGATCCCTATATAACACAATTAATCAGAATACCTTTGTATTAAGAGTGTGATCTCAGAGTCCAAAGTTCTTTTAAACAGTTCAGTGTAATCAGAAATGAGACAGCCTCATGCTAAAGCCCATTTTGTCATATCTGGACCTGCTAATTGTTAAGAAGTCTTTTTTTAAAAAAAATAATTTAATTTAATTTAATTTAATTTCCAATTTATATACCGCCCTTCTCCCTGAGGACTCAGGGCGGTGTACAGCCAAGATAAGAACATAGAATACAAATATTAAAAACAGTTAAATATATATATAAATTTGGCCCGAAAGTTAAGAAGTCACAAACTGATTAAAAGAATTTAAAAATTTCTTCTTAAGCCAACCCAGCTTGCTGGAAAAGATGGGTTTTAAGGGCATGACGGAAGGCATTGAGGTCATGGATTCTCCTTATCTCAGGGGGCAACTGATTCCAGAGGGTAGGAGCCCCCACAGAGAAGGCCCTCCCCCTGGGGGCCACCAGCCTACATTGTTTGGCTGATGGCACCCTGAGGAGGCCCTCTCTGTGGGAGCGCACGGGTCGATGGGAGGTCGTCGGTAGCAGCAGGCGGTCTCACAGATAGCTAGGCCCTATGCCATGGAGCGCTTTAAAGGTGATAACCAACACCTTGAAGCGCACCCGGAAGACCACCGGGAGCCAGTGCAGCTCGCGCAGGAGCGGTGTTACATGGGAATAACGAGTTGGAAGGGACCTTGTAGGTCATCTAGTCCAACCCCCCGCCCAAGCAGGAGACCCCACACCATTTCTGACAAATGGCAGTCCAATCTCTTCTTGAAAGTCTCAAGTGATGAAACTCCCACAACTTCCGAAGGCAAAGCTGTTCCATTGGTTGATTGTTCTCACTGTCAGAAAGTTTCTCCTTATTCCCAGGTTGAATCTCTCCTTGATCAGTTTCCATCCATTATTCCTTGTGTGGCCCTCAGATGCTTTGAAAAATAGCTTGACCCCCTCCTCTCTGTGGCAGCCCCTCAAATATTGGAACACTGCTATCATGTCTCCCCTGGTCCTTCTTTTCATCAGACATACCCAGTTCTTTATATGTTTTAGCCTCCAGTCCCCTAATCATCGTTGTTGCTCTTCTCTGCACTCTTTCTAGAGTCTCCACATCTTTTTTATAGTGTGGTGACCAAAACTGGATGCAGTATTCTAGGTGTGGTCTTATTAAGGCTTAATAGAGTGGTATTAGGACCTCCCGTGATCTAATGCAATCTAGGATTGCATTAGCTTTTTTGGCTGCCGCCGCACACTGTTGGCTCTTATTTAATTGGTTGTCCACTAAGACTCCAAGAATCGTCTTCTTTAAGCCAGTCCTGAGTCCTCCTGATCGTATGGTTATGCCTGATTGGCAACAAAAGTTTTTTGCCATTGTCTTCTGGGATTTTTTGTTAAAAGTTGGGATTTCCAGGTGGGTTTCCAACAGAGCCTCAATTAGGTCTGTTTAGCTTTGTCAAGATCTGCAAGGGATAAGCTTATGTTACTAAACACTTGGCATTCCAGAAGTAAAAGAACATTAATACATCAAGAAGCACTCTTGTGTTTAAAGCACACATTTAAAAAATGTGTTTCTGTCATGATTGCAGATAAATACTGGACTTAATCACCCAATGGATCACCAAATCAGATCATTCATTAGCTTTTCAAGATCAGGCAAAGTTGGCTAACTGCTGAAATGTCAACATGAGCTTTGGTTGTAATCCTCCTGCTTTTTATAAATTCTGGCCAGTAGCTTAGAAATAACTCTTAACCAACATGTCTCATATAGTCAGGGATCTAAAAATTGTCGTTTTGCATACGTTTAGTCCTTAACTTACATCCATTTGTTTAGTGACTGTTCAAAGTTGTAACGGTACTGAAAAAAAATGACTTATGGCCATTTTTCATATTTAAAACCATTACCACATTTACATGATCAAAATTTGGACACTTGGCAACAAGCATGTATGTATGAATGTTGCAATGTCTCAGGGTTATGTGATCACTTTTTGCGACCTTCTGATAAGCAAAGCCAATGGAGAAGCCAGATTCATTTAATAGCCGTGTTACTCACTTAACAACTGTAGTGATTCATTTAACAACCATAGCAAGAACGGTTGTAAAATGAGACAAATCTCACTTAACAACTGTATTGCTTAGCAACATAAATTTTGGATTCTGTTGTGATCATAAGTAAAGGACTAGTTTTATAGAAATTGTGATTTCACATATAGGAGTTGTTGGGGCACCACATTATGCTAATTCTTAAGCCATGGAGTAAAAACCACAGTGACTAAGTCCAGATTTATTGCAAGTTGTTAAATATGGTTTCTAGAATCCCACCAGTAAAATGCCTCTGTGGTTTAGCAGGATCAATGAATTTAGCTAAATTAAGATACAGGTAGATCTTGACTTATTACTCATCGCTTAGCAGTCTTTCAAAGTTACAACAAACCCCCTGAAAAGATACTTGCAAACAAATTCTGATGCTCCAACAGCCCCTCTTTATGGTCACATGACCACATTTTAGGCATTCGGCAACCGGTCCATTTGTAGCGCCCTGCAGTCATGTGAGCCAAATCGACGATATTTTTGTCAAAACCAGCACTTAACTTCCTATTTTCAGCAAAAATGCCTCCTAGATAACAAAGGTTTGCTTAACAACCACAGATTCACTTAATGACTGTGGTGATTCACTTAATGATTGGTGCAAAACTGGGTCGGTCACATGACCTGCTTTACAACCATCCAGTGGTGAAATCCTCCGCGGGTTGCCACCGGTTTGCTGCCCATGCATGTGCAGTGAGTGCCAAATGCACGCTGCACATGCATGCATGCACAGTGCTTACCAAATGCACACTTTGCACGGAAAAAGGAGTCTTAAGAAGGTAAGTAGAACACTGAGGGGGGGAAAACAGCTGTGCCGCGCAATTTATATTTGCTAGAAAGCAGGATTTCCTGCTTTCTAGTGAATATAAATCGCGTAGCACAGCTGATCGTCAGAAATACCAGTTCAGACGAACCTGTAGCATTTTTTTACTACTGATTTGCCCAAACTGGTAGCTTTTATTACTAGTGGTTTGCCCAAACCGGTGCGAACCGGTAGCATTTCACCCCTGCAACCATCATAACTTAATGTCTAAAGAGCAGGCTCCATTATGGTTGTAAGTTGAGGACTTATAAATATAATGCATTATGCAGGATTTGATAGCCAAAAGGAAATGAAAATCTTGCAGTCAATTTTTTAAGGGCTTCCCACCTTTCGTGGGTCCATATCCTTTGTTGCTGGTGGCAACTGCATCCTGGGGGCAGAGAACCTAATAAAAAGCAAAGGGAGGTTGTGACATAGGAAGAAACCTCAAAAACCTTTCTCACATTTGCAACAAGCACCGTCTTGCGATGGTATGGGGGTGAACATCTCTGCCCCATCACCTTTGTGGTCTCCCAGAGCAAACAGTCAGTGTTCTCTGAGCACATTTGGTTATGGAAAAGTTTCCCTCTGCGTCACCACTGCAAAGCAATTGGTATCATAGGGATTATTATTACTTTCATGTCCTGTGGAGCTTGATCATGTCAGCCCTCACAATAGGGAGTTATTACCAATGGTGTGACAACATGATTTATCACTAGTGTCCAAAAAGAACAGAAGCAGTGAAAGAAGGAATGGCTGTACATGCAAGAGCATAGAATCGGAAGGGCAGGGATTAAA